TATGTCTAAAAACGCTGCGAATTGTTTCACAATGGTATATTATTTCCAAACAATTATACATCTAAAGTAACATTACCTTCGTAGTGAAAAAGAAAACCAAATAAAAGATGATTCCAATTATTGGACTAAATATGTTTTTTTAGTCATTAGTAATATGCTAAAAAAATTAACATTACTTCAGTAACACATTCAAAAAACAAAACAAAGGATATAATCTTGAAGAAATGATTATGAAGAAACTCATGAACTGTTTCATAAGATACATTTTCGGGATCCCGTGGCGTTCACATGTATCATTCTGGTACACCGAGTTGAGGTGGCTTTATCTTACTTCCCGACGACAATTCCTTAGAACTTACTTTTCTTTTCCAAGTCCTTAGAACCAAAAACCCTCCCTACATCCCGGAACTCATTACTCTACGCTCCTCTATCCACTCTCTTCATACTAGTTCTCAACCTATAGCTTTATTTATCCTCTCTCATAAAACTACTTCCTTCGGCAAATCCTTCGTAAATCGTGCTACCTCCATAAGTCAATCCCCGTTCACAAATTACTTCAAACAACTGCTGTTCCACCACCTACTCCACATTCGAACTTCCGGTAAAATGTAAAACAGTATCTGTATACTGTTTAATTTCAATCTGCTGCGAAATTGCAATAACAATAAGCAGTTAATTGTTTTTTTTATTATTTTAAGCCGGACAAATACCCATAAATTTGTAACACTGTTATTATCCTTAGGAGACTCAAGTCCTAGATCAATTTTTTTTTTTTTCATTCATTCATTCATTCATACTTCTATATACACATATAACAACGTCCATATGTTATTGTTGTAATACTGATATATGAGATAGAAAATGTACACCATTGCTACATTTAGATGGCCATTCTCAGTAAACGATCCTACCACCATTTTGATATTTTGTCACGGCTGTCATCAGGTTCCTTATGAACAAATCAAAAAGTAGCAGCTGACAAATCTATTACTCCCCAGCCTGTCCAGTTGCCCCCCCCTCCTCTCCACTCCCACTACGTAGCAAACGGATTCAGACGTTGCGATATCGATCATAGAGCGTGACTCATGGAGGGACTTATTATCCCTCCGCTACTTAGGCCCCCACTCGGCCATTGTGGCCTCGTAGGGCCCCATCTCCATTGTGGCCGCGGGCATTCTCTCGTTAAGGGCATTTTTAATTGCCGGCTGTACGGCCGCATGTGCCCTCGCACTGGAGGGTCGTTTCTAATTGGAAAGGAATTCTCGATATGGGGCGTCCCTTCCATTTTTTTTTATTTTTTTTAAATAAAAATATATACATATTTATTTTTTTAAGGCCACAGTTATAGAAGTCAGAGACTTGTATCGAATCATATCAATAAGTTTGATATGCAATTAGTCATCACTAGTGATGATCAGCAGAAAGTGTTGTTAATTTGTAATCTGTTATTTTATAACTGTTACTTCCATTAAGCATTTGATTATAAGGCCCGATCAAGTTTGGTCAAGTAGTAAGTATCTATTAGAAAAATTAAAAATATTATATTGATGATTAAGTGATAATAAAATGCAAATATAAATAACAGAATTTATGAATTTGAATTGCAGGACTTGTGGTTAAATCTTAGATAATTTAGACTAAACAATGTCCGCCATAAGTTTATTAGTTATTTTATCGTTCAAGCTGATAGGTGATTGCAATAATATGTTAGATAAATACACATTTAAACTTTAAGAAACAAACTTTGACTCTTTTGAACTACTGCAAATAAATTTAAAATATTTTATTTTATGTCTTAAATTATTGAGGTTGCTACTTATTTCTTTTTAAATCAAGTTCAGATCGAACCAACAAAAAAAAAAAAAAATATTCGGTGTCAGCTTATTTTACAAAGCATTTATTTTGAATACAAATAATATAGGACTACAGAATGCATTTTAATAACTCGAAATATATATGTAAAATGTAGAAAAATAGAACTAAATCTACAATGTTTTGAGCAAATCACATATATATGGAAAATTCGTAAGCTCTCAATTGATTGCATTTTTTTTTTTTTTTTTTTACAAAATTTTATTTAAGTCCTTTGTCTATTCCCATACCACAAGATCTCGACCCTCCGATGTTTATACACCTTTTCATTGATCCCCCTAATACCAAAGCTTCATCATAACCCGTTTTGCTATTGGACTCCCGTCCCTCCTGAAATTTGCCATCCTTATCCACATTTAATACACTTGTTTTCTAGTTCAACTCTACGTATCAACCAGACACAGGATAGTTATGTACTATATAATAATGATTTGTTTTTCTTTATACAAGTCTTATTATTATTTTTTTTTTAAACACATATTTCATATTACTTTGTACATAACCGTTAGAAATATATTACTATTAATTTTATTTATTACATCTACCGTACAATTATGCTTTTTTAGTCGTTTATTTTTGAGATAACAAAAGTATAGATTTTTTTTTTTATGGTTAAGATTGTCTGTTTATAAGAATAATTCAGCTTCTCTTTCTGTATATTTTTATAAGTAATAAATATTTTGTTTCACTTTTTCTCATATATACAATATTTATTTTATTTAATCGGTAATATGGCCAGAATTAATTTCTTTTTTGTTATTATTGTTATTCTGTTGATAAGATGTTGATGAAGAAAGTTGATTTTTCTATTGTATTTTGTTATATGTTCGTCAAACATGTACAATGTTATTCTACAGTAAGAACTATAAGATTGAATTTATATAATTTTTTTTTTAAATAGGCTTTATTGAGATATATTACAATCTGTCACATTCAAGGACAATAGTAATAGTGATATAAAGTAGCCCATTCACACTATGCACAATAAATAAAAATATAAGCTAAAAGATATTAAACTAAACAAAAATAAACTAATCTAACAAAAAAATAAATTAATAAAATTGAATAAAAATTAATTTAAATTCGTCGAAATTTCGAAATAATGTAATTTTTATAAAGAGCGCTCCGACCAGCGGACATTACTGTTTTATATCCTTGGCCACTACATCATCGTAGAGGGACGACGCAAACAGAGCATGATATGCTGAGCGGGTCGTGTTTCGGTTTGGGCCATTCACTGACCCGGGGTCAAACATCGGAAAATGTTTGTACTGAAAGAGATTCGAGATGCGAGCCCGGTTTCAAAATGGGTAATTTTCAGTACATTGTTCGCGATTGTGAGGAATGCTTCCGACATCTGGCGCACAGGGACAATGGGGACGTAGGCTACGGGCAATTCATAACTGGGCGGAATTATAGGGTATGCAGTCCCCGTTTTATGCCCATTCACGGAGCGAGTACGAGATCCAACGGCTTTTAACCGGGAGTCAAACTTTACGCATTAACCGAAATGCTGGATACTCTAGGACGGACAATCGGAAGCCGTGTTAAAAGCTCCAGAGTTCTCCCTCCTCGTAGCCCAGACCGCAATTGTCCGGCTGCTGCGAGCTCGTTAATTGGGAGTGGCCATTCGGGGATTGGAGTCCGGTTTGTAATTCCGACTGATAGCGATGGAGTTGCCAAGTTCGGGATGGCTATGGGTTGATAATTGCTAGGAATGCCGAAAAGAATGGAGTAATGAATGGAATTAGATATGAATGAAAAGCTTCTGATTGTCATCATATATTGACCACAGCATATATATAGTACGTGCTTTTTATCAAATTATTAACATCCGCCTGAAACTTTTTGAATAGTTTCATCTCATCGTAAGCTACAACTACTTTATTTACGAAAACTCTTGAAAATTGGGCGTTTTAAATCTGGAAATCGGCAAGCTTTGTCTGTTTAATTAGGTACTAAAAACTCGTATATACCCATTTCATTTCAACTTGGATCGTAAGCATTGAAAGCTCAGTACCCCGCTCTCCATAGTGATATATGTTTTAAGTAATTATTTTTATTTACAACATTATTATTAATCTATTCATTTTTAATGTAGGTTTTATATAACCTTTTCCTAATGTCAAATAAACAAACTTATGTTTATAATTTGAGTATTAGCTTTAGTGTGAAATGGTATGCACCGGAAATTGACCGATTATAATGTACATGTCTGAAAATTGTAAATTTCATTGAAATCAACCTGTTTTATTATAATATTATAATTTCTTTTTCTTTTTTTTTAATAAAATTTACAACTGTATTACATGAACAATACAACGAGTAAATGTGACATTGGTAATATGACATGTACAACATGAAGAGAAACTACTTCTATATTAGAAGGTCCCGAGGCCATCTTCTGTTCAGGCGCCTCGGAGGGTTATCAGAGATCGAGGAGGAAGCAAAGTTTGATACGATAGGTTCGGATTTTTTTTATTATTGAAATTTACAACTGTATACATGATAAATACAAGTAAATATGAACAAGTAACATGACATGTACACAACATGAAGAGAAACTACCCATTGGTAGCATTCCAATTATATTTCTATATTAGAAGGTCCCGAGGACATCTTCTTTTCAGACGCCTCGGAGGGTTATCAGGAATAGAAGAGGAAGGTTGGAAACAAGAGGGTTCGGATGGTTCAGAAGTTATTATGGAAGGACAGGTATCAGGATTGAGCTAAATCGGAAACATAAAGTACATTAAGATCTTTATGGATGATTTTAAATATTATATTTAAATAGATGTCCTTGGACATCTTTTCGGGGACTCAAATCCTCTTTATTTTTATACCGGTGAATGAAGGAGAAGGGATACCTTGGATTCTCGCTTTTCTGTCTACAAGTGTGGGAACAACATTTATCACAAGGGGTGCCTGTGTTTAAGATGTTTATAATACTTTTTGAAGTTTAATCTTTTATTTTCTTTTATACTATTTTATTTTGCAAGCTGTAAATATAGATGTTTATACTACATAGTATAGCTTGAATTCTAAGTGAACAGACCACAAGACGTAGATAGGAGGATATTTTAATAATAGCTTATCTTCTACTTATCGTACAGAATAGACTGACTTACCTTTGAGCGGAGAAGGGGGTAATGGATGCGGGTGAGCCGCTATCTTGCAGAGGTCCATCGCTGGGTGCCTCCTCATGTATTCCGGCCAATAGGCGCTGAGGTAGGCGGCGTCCAACCAGCCCGGGGGCAGCAAAGAGAAACCTCCCAGGGTCAGGGGGCTACCGCCTGAGGCCATATAATGGAAGCCTGAAAGTATAAGGAACAATAATTATATAGAAGTTGTGTATTATACTGAGAATAATAAATTATTTAATAAAATGTATGATACATGCATTATAACTCTCTTCAGATATTAAACAATGAGTGTCTCACAATATTGCTGAGCTGGACCAGACATCTTCAATACATATTAAAGAAATCTGGTGCGTGCATAACTCGAATTTTGCTTACCACTCCCTTCTTCCCGAGTTCCCGAGAAAATCTTGGTACAGAGAGACAGACCAATGGCTCAAAATGTGTTTTTCGGACTCAGGGGGCTCTGAAACGTATAGATCCGTCGAAAACCGCATGTCGGAAATTTGACCCGATTGCAACATTTTCCTTACCTAGTATAGGCAGGAAAGTAATAAGTTAAAAAAAATGTGTAAAAAATAGAATAAGCTGTATCATCGCTAATACTGGTTGGTAATTTAATTACCTAAATTCTACCGTATAATATATACTTAGGGACTTAGGCCCCATCAAATTTTTTTTTCTTTATAACTTTTTTCCTGATTTTTTTCGGGAATTTAGTCTATATAGGAAAATTGAAAGGACAACGATTAGAACATCTAGAAAAGTTTCATCAAAATCCTTAGAGCTGGTTTCGAGCTACAGTCTATAGAAAAACATATTATTCATTTATTGCGTGCAAGCTATTGCGCATGAATCAACGAATTTCCGTCACAGGCATCAGTAGTCAAAACTGTACGAAATAGAAAAAGAAGCAATACAATCGGTACAGTAGTTCCCGAGAAAATCTTGGCACAGACAGACAGACCAATGGCTAAAAATGTGTTTTTCGGACTCAGGGAGCTGTGAAACGTACATATCCGTCGAAAACCGCATGTCGAAAATTTGACCCGATTGCAATACTTTTCTTGCCTAGTATAGGTAGGAAAGTAATAATTGATTAGAAAAAACAACTCCCATGGTTGATTACAATGATTGATCTCGTAGAATGATGATTGAAGCTTAACCGTGACATTGATGCCCTTATATTTCCTGAAGATGCTAAGATATAAGGGCTGTCTTCTGCAATAAAGTTACAATCGTCGGTAAGACGGATGATGGTCGAGGACAACCCTGCGGTGGGAGGCAGGCCCTGTAGGGCTCGGTATTATATTATTAAAGGGAAGCCAGGGCGTGTGAAAGGGTAGGGCCCTTTGTCTCGAGATTTAGTGGGAGCGTGGCGGCTAATGCTCCCCCCGAATTAGCCCAATCTCGACCCTTCTTTCATTCTCTAAGTCTCCTTTAATGTACCTTTATTTCTTTCATTATTGTCCTCTAATAAAAAAGTGCCCATTGTAACGTCGCCGACAATGGCAGGACGGCGGGAAGTCGCTGGTGCGAACGAGCGATGTGTTGTGACAGCGGGGGAAACTTATTCTCATCCGAGAGGAAGATTCAGTTATGAGTTTTTAGGGGTTTCAAGATAACTAGATCTCAATGTATCCATAAAATGAAACCCGGATCGTTATTAATATTTCAAGTATATTTAACCGACTAAAAACGTTAGTGATGCCCAAACGCAAGACCTAGACGAGTCTTCAACACATTAACGATACATTAAAGTCATTGTCAAGAAAGATAGTGACTACAGCCCCTCCTTATAGTCCGTGGTACAGACTCTTTTTTATCGAATTATTAACATCCGCCTGAAACTTCGTAAATAGTTTCATCTCATCGTAACCTACAACTATTTTATTTATGAAAACTCTTGAAATTGGGGCTTTTTCAATCTGGAGGGAGACAAAGTTTGTCTATTTAATTAGGTACTAAAAACTCGTAAATATCCATTTGCTTTGCTCTTACTTGAATCATAAGATAATTTTATCACAAAATCGAAAAAAAAGTGGCCTTTAAAAATATTGGGGCGTTTGTATAGGTTACGCCAAACGGCTCAATATTTTGGAAGGGCACCTTTTTTCTCTATTTCATGATCACATTATCTTACGTACATAGTAGAAAGCAAATGGTTCTTTACGAGTTTTTAGAACCTAATTAAATGGACAATTTTTCTCACCCTTCAGATTGAAAACGTCCCAATTTCAAGATTTTTCGTAAATATAATAGTTGTAGGTTGCGATGAGATGAAACTATTTATAAAGTTTCAGGCGGATGTTAATGATTCGATACAATGATATCTGTACCACGGACTATTACTATTAAATAATCTGGTGTGTCTTCTCTCATGACTTTCCTACCGATTATATACAATGTTTTTTTTCATATGTATGTTCATAAAAAATAAAATATTTAACATAGGGTTATCTAACCAAGCTCCAGGATGAAAAAAGAATGAAAAATTGTAAGAGTTAAATACAAAAGTACATTGGTTCTACCAATTCTTTACATTTATAGTAAGTAAAATTGTCTGGTATTACGGACTATTTTGTCTTAATTTTTATACTTATTAAGTTAATTTTATTTTTAGGTAAAAAATAATATTTGTTCATTATTTTAAATGTGAAAACTTCTTTAAGCGCGTTTTGAACTTTTTTTTTTTTTGAGATGAATTACATTGCCCCGTCAGATTTCTGAACAGTTAACGCACGGGTAAAGTTGGCTCAAGTCTACTAATTAGAGTTTTTTGCATATGGATTAAAATATCTCAAAAACTAAAAATCGGGCCTACATACTGTGGGATTTGTTGTGGAAATTGTTCAGCATTCCATCTTATCTTAAATAGGCTATAATTCAATTTTTTTTTCTTAACACGACGCCATGTTAGGAAGGCGAATTGGAAAAAAATGGTGTCGAAAACCAAATGATAACTTGTTTAAAGAAAGATACTGATTAAAATATTTCAGAAACTAAAAATCGGACCTGCATACTGTTAGCGAGGAAAATGTTCAACATTTCATCTTTTGTATAATGAGCTATTATTTATAATTTATATTTCATATTATTAATCTCGCCTTGTTTTCACTTCTATGGTGTGGTCTAAAGCTCATACCTTAATTTTTAATAATTCTTAAATTATATAAAAAATACATATGATAAAACATATCTCTTATTATATTTTTGCAATGATGTAATTATATGGAGAAACATGATCCGCGATGGAAACGATTATGGATTCGTTGCTCAATTAAGCTCCAGAGATAGCCAGGGATTTTAATATTATAAATTAAAACGAGGCTGGGAACTCGTGCATTAGCACTTTAATTAGAGTAATGCATCCTATAAAGCTCTTTTCCTGCGAAACCTTTACAACCCTACCAGCTTTTTCCAAATTCCGATCAATATATGCCCAACTAATTTCTTTCAAAAATATGTTAATTATCCTCTTTGAAAAGGCAGATATAGCCAATTATTAGGCCTTTGATACAGATATAAATTATTTATATCTTATATTCCGCGGAAGGATTATATTTTTAAATACACTTAAATAATAGCAGTTTGATAAATAACTGAATTAAGAAAAACAAATTATTTTTAACATTCATATTTTGTTTTATATTTTTCATAAATATATTATGACCGATATGACCGAAAAAAATTAAATGCTATATAAAAATAAGATGAAGATGAAATGCTAGTAAAATATACGTAACAATATGTAATATCTATTTTACCTATAATATATTATAAAAAGACAGCCAGTTTTAGTTTATAACCACTCACCACGATAACCACTGAACCGTTTTACTCAAGATTTTTTTGCAGAAATATTACCAATTGCCTTGAGATACTGAAAGGAATTTTAAGGTCATTTTTGTATCTAAAATGTTTAAATGATTAATTTTTTTATTTCCGTTGTTGGCCCAAGACATCCATTGAAGTCCTATAATGAATTAGAATAATTTTAATTAATAAAACTTCCCACTACTGCGATGTCTTCTAGCACAATCTTCGACATAGAATTTAAGGGATATTAATAAATTTTGCCTATTTTCAATCTATACGATATAAATATAAGTATAAGTTTTCTGTCTGCGTGACATTCATGAGTAATAGAGCTTATAAAAATTTTTAATTTGACGTAGTTCTCTCATATATCTTTATTTATTTGCAAAAACAGACCGAAGAAACTAATTCACAATTTGAAAACACGACAAAATAGGGACGCAGGGTATAATATTCAATTTAAAACAAAACCGTGACATTCATCAGATATAAATAAAATACTAGTCATGTTTTTGATATTAAACAAAAACACCTCATCCAACCATTTCGCTCTAACAAGAGAGGTATTGGTATTTTACAAAAACTATAGTTAATCGTGTAATACATTGACCTTACTTATTAGTATCTTGGACTCATCCAATTTTGGGGCATATCATGTATACATATTATTAATGATGTAGATATGGTTGACCGTGATATAATATGCTAAGGAGTTGATCGGAGGGAGAGGGATGCGGTTAAATAAATACTAAAGTATAGAAATAGTATTAAATAATAGAATAGTATGTAATAAATTATAAATAATAAATTATAGAAATAGTAATTAAATAATACTATTTCTATAATTTAGTATATATTTGACTGCAACCCCGATCAATTCCTTCTCATATGCAGATTATTATTTTAACTAATGCATATAAAATAATTTTTATTAGGTTAGACAAAAAAATGTTATACATTTTTTTAAATTTATGTATTTTAAATCTAAAAATGGCTGGTTTATGATAGAACCTATAATATATTGATAGCATTATTTTAGATGCTGAAGAGAGTGACAGAGAATCCCCGAAACGTTAACTAATAAATAATAACCAAAACTATATATGAATATTTATGATAGTAACCTATGGGCAATAAATTAATGAAAAGATAATTTTAAAAACTATATTCAATAAAGGACCGTGACGTTCATGAAATTTATATCCTTCTTGAGCTGTGCTAATAGAACCTTCTCTATTCTTCAGTATATTTTTAGTATTTGGGTAGTTTCGTGTGATATCTACAGTAATAATATGGGTTTATTATTTTCAGTAATCAACCATTATTATCGACAAAAAAATTTAAAAACTTAACCC